TGAGGGTTTTAGAGGGGAGGGGGGTGGGGGGATGGGTTAGCCCTGTGATGGGTATTAAGGAGGGCACGTATTAAATGGAGCACTGGGTGTTATATGCGAACAATGTATCATGGAACACTACATCAAAAACTAATGATGTAATGAATGGTGACTAACATAATAAAATTAAATTAAAAAAAAGAATTTGCATTGGCTTAAAACTCTTGTGTATAGAGATTGAACCTTTGTGCCTATTTTGTAAGCACTGCCAATGTACACAGGTTGTATCACTTTGACTTATTTTAAGGTATGATTAAATAATCATGCCCTATGTTTTGGTGCTATAATCCCCTGTCTTGGTTGTTGAAGATTTGAACACCTGATATTTGATAATTAAATGGACTTAACCCTTTGTTGGAATTTTCTTATTGGCCTTGTTTCCTCTTTGGTAAGTTTAACACTTCAGGGATAATTTGATGACTTTCTTCCCTCCGTTTTGGGTTGTACAGTTTTTTGCTTGTGATATTTACTCTGTGATCAAAGTAAAATTAGGAAATGTATACAAATAGTTTTCAATGCAACTTAAGCTACAAGCATTAGTAACTCTTGTTTTCTTTACAGACGTATGGTCTGCAGGCTGTGTGTTGGCTGAGCTGTTGCTAGGACAACCAATATTTCCAGGGGACAGTGGTGTGGATCAGTTGGTGGAAATAATCAAGGTGAGAAGTCTGAATCAATTTTTGAACTGCAGTGAATTTATTGTTATTCTAAGAATCCGTATCACCCACACCCATGAAAAACTTAAAAAATGGAGAAAGTTATCCAAGATCACATAAAAAGGTCAGCTATAGAGGAGGTATAAGAACACAGCCTTTTGGTTTCTAATTGAGTTAACTCTTCTGTTATATGATCCTATAAAAGGTATTTTAAATATCTGATGCAAAAAAATGGATATATTTGTTATTTAAAGTACTTAAAAGCCATAAGATCACTAAAATATATATAAACCAAATAAAAGCACAAACTAAGTGTTATTTTTGCTCACTATGTCCTCTGCTCCTAATATTCTGCTGAGCACATGATGCTTATATTTTTCAATATATAAATATTTGTAAAATGAAAGAATGAGTATCTACTTGTATAAGCAGACCACTAAAAGAAGCAGAATATTGACTTATGAGTTTAATATAATTTTATTTATTAGATCTTATCAGCACTTTTATTAACAACACCAGATTTAAAATATTATTACCTTGGAATTAATATTGTCTCTTAAGAACACTAAGGCTGAGATTTTAATTGATTTTTTAAATGTAATTTTTAAAAGTTTTTAATATTTGAGACCTTAAAGTTCCCACCCCCTTAAAAAAAATTCTAGTGTCTGTATATTATGATCAGTAGATTGCTTCATTCTAAGGTTACAGTTTGTCCAGAGCAACAATACCTGCTGTCTTTTGGGTTTTAGTCTTGATTTTGTAAATATTTCTTAGAAATGTAAAATTGAAAATCTTCTTAGAGGTCATGTAGTCCAATTCTCCAAACAATGAAAGAACCATCTTAGTTATAGTCCTGACAGATGGATTTCCAGTGTTTTCCTTGAATACTTCCAACATCAAAACGCTACTGTGGGATTCATTCTGCTCTGTATCTAGACACCTTGAATTTAATTTTTCTTTGCTGAGCCATAACTCCTCAGTAGCTTTTATCAGTTGTACACAGGACTATGATTATGTTACTTAAAACTGCTTATACTTCATTCTATAAAAATATGTTACTTTTGGTAAGGCGATTTTGCTAAATATTAATGTGTGCAAGTATGGTTGAAAAGACCAGCGTGTGATCAAATATCTTCCTCACTATCCATATGATTTTTTTATGATTTGCACCTGAGACCTCTGTGGTATTTGCAGTCTTTTTGGGGTAACCGTCTTTTAGTTTCAAATTTAACTTTAACCTTTGTCCATCAGATCTACTTTCTGATTCCCACACTACACTCAGATCTAAGTTCAAATAGTTTGGTCATTTGGTTTCCTAAAAGCCCATTCCCCATTATTCAAATTAATATTCTAGTACAAGGGTTGGCAGACTTTTTCTTCAGAGGGCTGGATAAAATATTTTAGGCTTTGTGGGCTAAAACACAAATCAAGGATGTCATAGAGATGTGCAACAAGAGAAAACAAATTTCTGCAAATTTTTCATTGAGGAAATTAAAAATACAGTAATAATTGAGTACAAATTTTTTTAATACAGATCTACTAATTAGAAGATTGGAATTCCTTGGAGGGGGGCTGTAACATTTCTTTTAATTGGGATTCAAAGTTAGTATTCTCTTTCATCAAATTGATTGCAAATTATTATCTGTAAAATCAATTCTTAGTTCATAGGCCCAACAAAAACAGGAGATTGGGCCATAGTTTGAAATTCAGAATTTCTTTAATCCGCAGGCTTTCACCTGATGTACTTGAGCTCACCAAGCTATAATTCTCTGGGCATATTGCTATTCTATTTGTCATTTATGTTTAGCTTATTAGAATTATGTTGCTTTTCTGTGGATTATAGTTTAGAACTTTGTGATGATTTATTGTTTGTCATTAATTTCAGTTCATACATGATACAAATGAAATTACTCATGAAGCTAAGTAGCCATCTGTGAGAAGTCTCTATCTCATACTTGCCATCATATCTTACATACCTTTATATCTAGAGCTTTTTGCACCACCACTATTACAGTCCTTTTAATTCAGATTCCTCCTTGGTTTGTACTTACTTAATAGTAGAAACTATCAGTTTGTTATTGATGGTTTAAGACTTCATTTTCATTTAGGGCTTATTTGTTGTAAGTTGTCCGTGATCAATTTGTAGTAGTAGGTCAACTCTAAAACAAAACATTCTTTTCATTTATGTGTTATCTTGTCATCTTGCATTTATATGTAAGAAACATAGTCACAACCCTGCTGTAGTTCCAGGATCACTGTCTATACATTTTGAAGGTGATATGAAATAAGAAAATTAGGATCCCAGGGCACTTTGGAATATCCAGCTTCTTGATCTGTTTTACAGTTTTAAGTGTAACTGCCCAGAATAAATGAAATTCCAGTATTAGTTTGCCACCTGTTTGGTGACCTGAAATTTATACATTACATTGAGATTAATAGACATTGTGTTGTGGTGTGTGTGAGTAGCATGACTCTAAATCCTGTCGCATGGAGGTTAATAAACTTTGTACAGATTTTGTGTATGTGTTTAATATAGTTCTAATATCTTGTTGATCCTGTATTTCTGTTCCCTAAATATTTGATATCTGTGATGTTTCATTGAAATAAAAATTCATAACTAATTCTGATGTAACTATTCTAGTTTTCCTCATCTAAGTTGTAAATTAGAAAAGAAGTTGTGTAAGTTAGCTTTCAAAGTTAAGGGTTACTAAACACATTTTTCATTTTAAACAAATATTGTCATTATTGCTAATCAGGAGTTCAAGAATAGATTTGAATTTTACGTGAAATGTGGTCTTGTAGGTGCCCAATTCAATTCTCAGTTTTTTTGAGGTAACAGTAATTAGGGAATCCATGAAAATCTGTTATTTTCTGCTACTGTCTCCCTTTAAAATTTCATGGGGATTCCTTTGGAGTATCTGGAGGTAGCTGAACCCCCCAGTAAATTCTTCTCTCTGAATCTGAGTTTATGCAAAAAATGAACAATCACCCAGCAGACTTCAAGTATTTTATATGTGGTAGACTTGCCTCATTACTTTATAAATTTTCTGAGCAGGGACTTTATTATTGTGTTTCATTATCCAAGGGCACCAGAATAGTTTCCAATAAAGATTTAAATTGAATTAAGCTGCAAGACAGTCATTGTTCATTCATGAATTTGGAATTACCTAGGAATTAATAAGGAAAGTTGTAATTGTTGTGTATGTTGTTCATTAAATTTTATTGACTCAGATGTCCATGCCAATAATTTTTAGCATGAGTAACACAGTTTTATAAACTGAGCTAACTTCATCTCATTCTAACCAACCTTTTTAACTCCTCTCTCCCTACCCTCTAGTAAGAAGACTTTTGCAAAATATTTAGGATAAATCCAATTATGTTATCGTCGAATAAGTTAAAAGTATAAAGCAGAATGGAACTGAAAGTCTTGAAAAATCATTTGTAAGCATGAAGTGTACACTAAACTTTCTGAGGTTGATTTCATACATAGGATTGTTAGAACAGGATTTCATTATGCCAGGGACTTCTCAAATAAAATTTTTTTTTCTTAAATTCTTCCTTAAAATACTAGTCAAAATAACCTCAAGAAATATCTGATGTGGTTTCAGATATCTGATGAAAAATACAGTATTTTGGGAGACCGTGTACCAGGAGTTTCACAAACATAGGTTTGGTGACATAGCATTGTCCCATGGCACCTCTGCTATCAGTCATAGCAATATAGTTATTTAGAAAAGAGTATTCTGAAAACTTGAAGGAGGTAGTGTTTTTTAACGACAATAACTTTTTTTTTTTTTTAATAATTATGCTGTATTTTCTATGCTTGGTTCAGAAGACTGAGAAAACACAGGCATACAAATATAAAGAAAAGAACAAAAACAGTCACTGTTTTGGCACATCATGAAAAATAACTTCTGTAAATATTTTTATATCCTTTTCTGTGCATATATATGTTTAAACAAAAATGCCATCTGTTTTGTAGACTTTTTTACTAAATAATCCATTTCTCACAAGAAGTATATTTTGACTAAGTGATCTTTGAAAATGACTATATAGATTCTGGTGTATGATTGTATTCTGAATTACATAATTGATATTGAGAAGAATAGCATTATCAAGGTAAAGTGATATATTATTGCCTTGAAGAGAAATTACCATGATATATTTGACTTCTCAAAGATTTGATCATTAACTTATGTAAATAACAAATGTACCCTGTATTCCCCAAATGAATTGAAGTTGAAGCACTCTATGAAGCTCTGGACCTGGGAATGCTATAAATTTTACTAGTAGTTTCTTTTCCCCCCTCCAAATTCTAAAATACGAATTTCAAGTAAGGAAAGGTGAACTCAGTGCAAAGTTCAGTTTCTGTATTAAAATATCACAAAGCTAAAAGTTTGAAAGAAACCAATTTTTTGGTAGAATTTCAAATTTTAAATTAACTAGTGTCCCTAGAGATATGCCTTTATTTATTCCATAAACATTTACTTATGCTTAGTAATAATTTGACCATTGCTTTCTAATGGAAAAGTTTTAGAGCAGAATTAGAGTCCCACCTCTTGATGATAGAATTTCAGTATAGCTTCCATAAGTTTTATTTATTTATTTTTTTTTAAGATTTTATTTATTTATTTGACAGAGAGATAGCACAAGTAGGCAGAGAGGCAGGCAGAGGGAGAGGGAGAAGCAGACTCTCCACTGAGCGGGGAACCCGATGCGGGGCTCGATCCCAGGACCCCGTGATCATGACCTGAGCCGAAGGCAGCTGCTTAACCGACTGAGCCACCCAGGCGCCCCAGCTTCCATAAGTTTTAGATTTGGATATATCTCTTTTAGAAAAACATGACATTAAACATATAGATACTTAAATTATTTGTAGTAATAAAATTGTTATAAGGCAATTAAAGTTACTTAATTTATTTTTGTAAAACAACTTTACTAAATTGTTGTTTAATTTCTCTTACTAATAATTACTCAAATATCTGCCTAGGTAGCTCTTACAT